GCAAATGAAAATGAAAATCAGAATACACACCACGGAAAACAGCTAAATACCTGGAGACTCCTCAGAGAATTGACACTACAGATGTCCCCTGCTCTACTGTGCTCTAGCGAGGTCTTTTTCTAAAGGTCCTGGGACATCAAAATAACCCTGGACCTCAGCTCAGAGGCCCAGGGGCTAGGAGGGTCCCAGGTCCCGCGCTTCGCCGCAGCCTCTGGGACAGGCGCTCCTATACGCTGGACGCGGGTCGCACGCCGTTCCCGGCCGGGATGCGGACGCTGGGGCCGCCAGGACCCCACAACCGCCGCCACGCAGACTACTGGGGCCCCCAAGCTCACAAGGAGTCAGGGCCCAAAAGGGAGCGGCGGGGAAGGAGCAGGGAGGCCCGGACGGTTCTCGGTGGGGTCCATGCCTCGCCACTTACCGCGCAGACCTGCCTCCTGCTCCCCCATCACATGGAAGCCACTACGGCTTCTCCGAACCTCGCTGGGACCGCGCCTTCGCTTCTGGCCGCCGCCTCTGCCGGCTGGTCCCGCGCCACCGCTTCTGGACGCCACCGCTTCTGGCAGCCGCCGCCTCTGCCGGCTGGTCCTACGCCGCCGCTTCTGGACGCCGCCGCCTCTGCCGGCTGGGACCGCGCCGCCGCTCCTGGGCGCCGCCGTCTCTGCCGTCTGGTCCCGCGCCGCCGCTTCTGGACGCCGCCACTTCTGGACTCCGCCGCTTCTGCCGGCTGGTCCCGCGCCGCCGTTTCTGGACGCGCCACTTCTGCCGGCTGGGACCGCGCCACCGTTTCTGGAGGCCGCCGCTTTTGCTCGCTCTGACCGACGCCGCGGCTTTTGCTGGGGCCCTGCGCGAAGCGCCATCTCGGCTTCCGTAGAGGCGCGCACGCTGGCAGCGTCCCTAGCGACTGGCTGACGCACCACCCCCTCTTAAAGGGGCCGCGGCTCGGACTGCGCAGAAGCAGCCTCGCGTTGCGGCACAGGCCGAGCCTCTGCCCAGCCCCAGCGGTGAACGAAAGGCCCCAGTGTCTCCTCCCGGCTCTAGGGCCCTGGAGATGACAGGAGTGCAGCCCTGTGACCCCAGCCCCGAGATCGGCTCCCCTTTGTCTGGGGAGCTTCCAGGACCTGCCCCTGCCCTCCTCTGGACCTCAGCTTCACAATCTGCAAAGGAAGCGGCCTGGCCAGAGCTCTGGGGTCCCTCAAGCGCGGCGCCTCAGGATGCAGGGCGGGCTCCCTGGTCCCTCTGCAGAGGGGGCCTTAGAACCAAGGAAACCTGGGGGGTGGAGGGACAGTCCCGAGGGCAGCAGGGCCTCCCCGGCCTCCCTGTCCCATCCGTCCTGTGGGAGCCCGGGGGCCTCGCTAGGGCCCAGACACGGCGGCCTCACCGGGGCTGCCTGGGTCACCGGCTCCGCAGGAGGCAGGCAGGGGTCCTGGGGTCCAATGCTGCCACACCTCACCTCCATCCTAGGTCAGCCCCGGAGGGGCCCTGCGGACTGGACCCAGCCAGCCCCTTCCCAGGGAGAGGGACCCGCATCGCATCTGTCTCTGTGACAGCCACGGGAGGACCGCGCTGGCCTCTCCCGGGGATCTGGGGCGAGGCGGGGGAATCCCAGCCACCTGGCCAACATGCTGAAACCTCTACTACAAATGCAAAAATTAACCGGGCGTGGTGGCGCCCGCCTGTAATCCCAGCTACTGGAGGGGCTGAGGCCGGAGAACCTCTTGACCCCGAGGAGGAGGTTGCAGACCTGGGGTCACTGCAGTCTCCGCCTCCCAGGCTGAAGCAATTCTGCCTCAGCTTCCCGAATAGCTGGGATTACAGGCACCCACCACCGTGCGCGGCTAATGTTTGTATTTTCAGTAAAGACAGGGTTTCACCATGTTGCCTAGGCTGGGCTCAAACTCCTGACATTGTGATCTGCCATCTTGGCCTCCCAAAGTGCTGAGATTACAGGTGTGAGCCACCTTGCCCGGCCGGGTCAGTTCAAGACCAGCCTGACCAACATGCTGAAACCACATCTCTACTAAAAATACAAAAATTAGCCAGGCATGATGGCACATGCCTGTAATCCCAGCTACTTGGGAGGCTGAAGCATGAGAATCACTTGAATCCAGGAGGCAGAGGTTGCAGTGAGCCGAGATCTAGCCACTGTACTCCAGCCTGGGTGACAGAGCAAGACTTCATCTCCAAACAAAATCGAAAACAAAATAATATTCAAAATGGTAAAGACAGAAAGTAGAATGGTGGTTGCCAGGGGCTGGCAGAGGAGGGAATGGGGAGTTTGTATTTAACGGGTAGAGAGTTTTAGTCTTATAAGATGAAAAGAACCATCCGGGCATGGTGGCTCACACCTGTAATCCCAGCATTTTGGGAGGCCGAGGCGGGCAGATCACCTGAGGTCAGGAGTTTGAGACCAGCCTGGCCAACATGGAGATATCTTGCATCTACTAAAAATACAAAAATTAGCCGGGTGTGGTTTCGGACGCCTGTAATCCCAGCTACATAGGAGGCTGAGGCAGGAGAATTGCTTCAACTCGGGAAGTAGAAGTTGCAGTGAGCTGTGATCCTGCCACTGCAATCCAGCCTGGGTGACAGAAGGAGACTGTCTCAAAAAAAGAAAAAGAAAAGAGCCATGGAGACTGATGGCGGTGATGGTTGCGTGACATTATGAATACATTTAATATGTTTAATGTGACTCAACTCTGTACCTAAAAACAGTCAGGATGGTAGATTTTATGTTAAGTATAAATTACCACAATATTTTAAAAATTGAAAAAAAAATCAGGAGCAAGATTTTACCAAAGCAATGTGTAGATGGCGGGTGCATGAAAAAGGTATTCAACATCATTAGCCATTAGGGAAGTGAACATTAAAAGCACAATATTACTACGGACCTATCAAAAATTACCGCAGACTTACCATGGCTAAAATAAAACATAACGGTAGTGCCAAATGCTGGAGAAACTGGATCATTTATACTTTGCCGATGAGAATATATTTTATATTATAACGTGTATCGAGTACAGCTGTTCTCGAATATACTTTAGTAGTTTCTTATAAAACTCAACATGTACTTAACATACAATCCAGCTTGGGCATTTATTCCAGAGAAATGTAAACTTATGTTCACATAAGGCTGGTCTCAAACTCCTGACCTTGTGATCCATCCACCTCAGCCTCCCAAAGTACTGGGATTACAAGTGTGAGCCACCGTGCTCGGCTACACTGATACTCTTATCCTTTGTCCATCCGTTTCTGATGGCATCAGAAACCTTCACCTTCCAAAAACAATCACTGGGAGTCCACCTTGTGCAGAGGTAGGACAAGCTTTCGTGCAGGTAGGGGCACTGCTGCACCCCCAATACACATGCATCCTCCTCCCTATCTGCCCTCAGGTTGCAGCCAGAGGAGTTTGGAGCTTCTACAGAGAGCATAACTTCTCCAACTGGAACAGACTCCCCTTAAAGGAACGTATTTAGGAAGATCATTTCAAGGATACCATGTACATGCATTTCTCCAAAATATGCTCAGATGGACTTACATCATCAGAAAGCCGTGTGTATGGGTTTCGCATTTTCTTGGTCCACACAAACCCCTTGAGAGGTCCCTGTGGGCAGTGAGCCTATACGTAGACATCCCCTCCCCTCCTTGATGTCCCAGACATCACAGTCCCTCTGAGGGGCTTCCACCCCCTGAGGAGTAGTCCCTCTGACGTGCTCCCCACCCTCTGGAAACTGGGAGGTTGGAAGAGGGGGCTCATGCCACAGAGCCAGCACACAGCAGGGTACTCAGGCACATCTAAGCCTTCGTTTCTGCTGTGTGGAAATGCTTCCTTCACAACTGTAGTCTCAAAACCTCCCCTCACTCAACAGGAAGGTGCTGCTCAAAACTCTGGGCACACATTAGGGCTGGGGAGGGGGTGGCAGAGAGGAGAGTACGGCCTGCCCATGCACCAGGCAATGGGGCAGCTACCTGTCTCTCAGCCTGGTCTAGATCCACCTTCTGGGCTCTGGCTGCAATGCCTTTCTCTTTCCCTTTGCAATTCCCTTGGGTCCTGCCCAAGAAGATAAAGACGGAGCAACCTGCACTTATGAGAGGTTCCTATGCCAGGGGGAGGGACCTGGAGAAAACCAGAATGAGGGCCAGAGCCAGAGAAAGATAAAGCACCAGGGCCTCCCATACCAGTGCCTGAGGATCCACTTTATTCCCCAAGGATTTACCCCCAGGCACATGCTTTATTTCAATCTATTATCTTTTTCTTTTTATATTCCTTTATGAAGGCACTGGGAAATGTGTTTTTAAGAGTGAGGGGTGTTGACATCTTCCTGGCAAAAGTATTAATAATGTATTCCCAGGTTAAATTTTGGATCTCTGTATCACTAGCTACCTAGTGGACCCATGTGAATCGAGTGAGGATTAGAAAATGGGATCCCATAGTGTGATGTGCAGAAAATACCCCACAGATGAGTTGCACAGGAATAGTTGCTTTCTTTAGATGAGAAAATGTAGAAAGTCAGCACAATACAGTGACCGGAGCATGGTGCCTGTGCCTGGCCTGAAATCTAAGCCACGTGTTCCTGGGACTGTCACTCAGCTCCTCTGCCCTCAGCTTCCTGTTCTGGGATGTGAACATGTTACTAGGGCCTGCTTATTACTACGATGTTACGAGGCTAAATATAAATACAGACACAATCTTAAAAAAGATGATGGGTACTTTGTAAGTGCTGTACTCCATAGGTGTTCAACTGTTACACATCTGGAAGAATAAGGAAGACAGGCAGCTCTGGTGACCTCCAGAGAGGGGACATGGAAGGTGACAGGTCAAGGCAGGACAAAGCTCCACCTTTCCACATTGGCATGGGCATGATGCTTTACAGCTCAGGGGAAAAAATCTGTTATCTCTTGTGATGTGGGATGGGAAGAGTGGGAGCTGACTTCTATTTTATGGTTTGGGGAACTGAAATTTAGAAAGATTCAGTGATTTGCTCAGAGTAACAATACTGATGAGTAATCAAGCTAAGGCAGGGAATTTAGTTGGTTCCCTGGGGATGAAGGTCCCTGAATGCCTGAGACCAGGAGTACACACCCTGGACTCCAAAGTGAGGATCCTCATCCTTTCCCAATCCTCTTACACCCCAACGCTGCTGCAGGGAGACACTGATGCCCTGGAGGAGGTGCCTGGCCCAAGAAAAGGGCCCAAACCCTGACTTAACTCCCGGCTTGACATTTCACCCAAAATGCAAGACTTTCCCCCAAAGGAAGCCCTGCTGAAGGCTTGGGGTCCAAATTTATGTCTGTCTTGTCCTCACTTGACCCTGTAGCTGCCTTGTGGGAAGAACTTCCCTGTGGTCGGGTGACCTCTCTGAATGACCAGTAGCCTCCTTGACTCCCAACAGACTCGGAATGCAGGACGTTCCCAGCCAACTGCCCCTGTGACAGTTGGACTTAGAATCAGATTCATCTTCAACTGACCAAACCAGGCTGCTGGGCAGTTAGGAT